GGGAAAAAACTGGCCGACGGCCGTCGTGGACGGAAGTTGACGCGCGCCATGGAAAACTGGGCAAAACCACGTACGTGGCACACGCCGCGTACACGGACCCTTACACGGACCCGTGAACGGGCTGTACGTGGACACGGGAAAAAACTGGCGAACGGCCGTCCTGGACGGAAGTGGACGCGCGCCATGGAAAACTAGGCAAAACCACGTACGTGGCACACGCCGCGTACACGGCCCCTTACACGGACCCGTGAACGGGCTGTACGTGGACACAGGAAAAAAGTGCCCGACGGCCGTCGTGGACGGAAGTTGACGCGCGCCATGGAAAACTGGGCAAAACCACGTACGTGGCACACGCCGCGTACACGGACCCTTACACGGACCCGTGAACGGGCTGTACGTGGACACGGGAAAAAAGTGCCCGACGGCCGTCATGGACGGAAGTTGACGCGCGCCATGGAAAACTGGGCAAAACCACGTACGTGGCACACGCCACGTACACGGACCCTTACACGGAGCCGTTAACGGGCTGTACGTGGACACGGGAAAAAAGTGCCCGACGGCCGTCGTGGACGGAAGTTGACGCGCGCCATGGAAAACTGGGCAAAACCACGTACGTGGCACACGCCGCGTACACGGACCCTTACACGGACCCGTGAACGGGCTGTACGTGGACACGGGAAAAAACTGGCGAACGGCCGTCCTGGACGGAAGTGGACGCGCCATGGAAAACTAGGCAAAACCACGTACGTGGCACACGCCGCGTACACGGCCCCTTACACGGACCCGTGAACGGGCTGTACGTGGACACAGGAAAAAAGTGCCCGACGGCCGTCGTGGACGGAAGTTGACGCGCGCCATGGAAAACTGGGCAAAACCACGTACGTGGCACACGCCGCGTACACGGACCCTTACACGGACCCGTGAACGGGCTGTACGTGGACACGGGAAAAAAGTGCCCGACGGCCGTCATGGACGGAAGTTGACGCGCGCCATGGAAAACTGGGCAAAACCACGTACGTGGCACACGCCACGTACACGGACCCTTACACGGAGCCGTTAACGGGCTGTACGTGGACACGGGAAAAAACTGGCCGACGGCCGTCGTGGACGGAAGTTGACGCGCGCCATGGAAAACTGGGCAAAACCACGTACGTGGCACACGCCGCGTACACGGACCCTTACACGGACCCCGTGAACGGGCTGTACGTGGACACGGGAAAAAAGTGCCCGACGGCCGTCGTGGACGGAAGTTGACGCGCGCCATGGAAAACTGGGCAAAACGTACGTGGCACACGTCGCGTACACGGACCGGACCCGTGAACGGGCTGTACGTGGACACGGGAAAAAAGTGCCCGGCGGCCGTCGTGGACGGAAGTTGACGCGCGCCATGGAAAACTGGGCAAAACCACGTACGTGGCACACGCCGCGTACACGGACCCTTACACGGACCCTGAACGGGCTGTACGTGGACACGGGAAAAAAGTGCCCGACGGCCGTCGTGGACGGAAGTTGACGCGCGCCATGGAAAACTGGGCAAAACCACGTACGTGGCACACGCCGCGTACACGGACCCTTACACGGACCCCGTGAACGGGCTGTACGTGGACACGGGAAAAAAGTGCCCGACGGCCGTCGTGGACGGAAGTTGACGCGCGCCATGGAAAACTGGGCAAAACCACGTACGTGGCACACGCCGCGTACACGGACCCTTACACGGAGCCGTGAACGGGCTGTACGTGGACACGGGAAAAAAGTGCCCGACGGCCGTCGTGAACGGAAGTTGACGCGCGCCATGGAAAACTGGGCAAAACCATGTACGTGGCACACGCCGCGTACACGGACCCGCGGGTATGAGAGGTCCGGGAAAAAATGGCCCATACACCATGCGAACCGGCTCAAAACCAGCTAATGATGGTCAACAAACGGTGCCATGGCAGCGAAAACATGTCTCATGGCAAAAAAACGCTGCCACGGCAGCGTTTCAAAACAGTGTACCCCTCCTTCACAAACTAAGGGCAGGGGTCCCAATGGGGGCTAAAACCCTCGGGTATAGTAGGGAGGAGGGGTCCTTCCTGGTGGGCGTACGGAACACGGGTGATTTTTCTTAGGGAAAACACCCGTGTTCACGTACGCCCATCCTTTCCCAACGTTGCCTCGGATGTCCCGTCGTTATGCCATCACGAAGGTGTTGGCCCGGTCCCGTGTACGTCTCGTGAGAAATTCTGACCCAACAGCCGAAGGTAGCTCGGGAAACAGGAAAGTACCCCGTTGCGTACACGATCCGACCGACGGTAAACAGTCGCAACGATGTCCCTCCAATGTCGCCTCCGGAAAAACGTTGCCCCTCGGTGGCAACGTCATCGCTGTCCGGTCCCCTGTACGTCTCAAGTGAAATTCTAACCCAACAGCCGAATGCGGCTCGGGAAACAGGAAAGTAGCCCGTTTCGTGCACGATAAGACCGTCCGACAACGTTGCACCGATGTCCCGATAAAGTTGCCT